AGAATTGGATGGAACTAGAAAAGAAGGCCCAGGACAGAGTGGGTTGGAGAATGCTGGTCGGCAGCCTATGTTTCATTGGGAGTTACAGGCGTAAGTAAGTAACGTAGAGCTTATGTGGTTGAGATTGTTTATTTTGATCAGCGTATTGTTAGAAAGGTTGTACTCTATGGGATGGGGTTGCGGACACTATGCTCAACCCTCCTGCTTTACCTGGTTTTGGGACCGGTACTAGCTTTGGAAGTGCTACAAGGCGAGTCGCAAACATACTAATTCATTAATATCTTGTATTTTCTTTCTTAAACGCAGCTAATTATTCTTCCAAATACTACGAAACCCGTTCAGATGTGACAAGTATTACGTATACATTATTGATACATCTGTAATGGTATTTCTGAAGAAACCTGAAGTGGTTTCTACTTCACAACAATTACATAAGAATAATCGTAATGACTCCTAAGATATTTGGTTCTTATATAATGAGTTCACGCATTCGTCAATAAGTAACATGAAGGAGAATTGTAACTGCAACAAACGTCCAAATATAACTGAGTATATTAAGACTTCCAAGATTATTAAAAGGATTGGTGTTCGACGTACAGCGACAGGTGTAGTAGCGTATGACTTCTAAGTTGTCTAATCATTGGAGATGTATTTCTTGAATAGTGGAGACGTGATCTAGCGTAAATGCTTCCCTGATTGACTTCAGCTAATGTTTTAAGTAGAAGTAACATGGTTACCATAAGTATCAAATGTACATAAGCGATTTCTTTTCAGGAATTTCCTATCTCGACAGTTTTTATACTTGGAGGGCATGTTCACACAATATGATCAGTCTCTTGGGTGTGTTTGTTCTATGAAGTCAACTAATTGGTGTGCTTTAGTTACCAATGTCATTGATTTCCTACTGTCAGTAACATAAAGATCGTCAACCAGTATTTTAGGTTGAGGTCACGTTAAATTAGACAGTTAATTTAATTAGAGCTCAGTGTTATCTCCCTAACTCTTCAGATTATTAGCTAGAGACCTATCATGTTCAAGATCATCCTAAAACACAACCTTCGGATCCTTATCAGTCAGATTTCCCAATTTATCCAAAATGAATGATCTACCCATGAAATCCAGTTCCATAGGGATTGTGTTTCCTTAATCTGAACTATTGATATTTTTGTTTAGCATTCCTAATTATTCGCCGATGCTCTAAGTTATGAAACCGAGAAGACTCATTATGACTGAAATCTTTTGCCGAATCTTTTTAAAAATTTCTCCAATAAAACAACAACAAAAAACAACGGGACAAACCTCTCTCTTAGAACATTAAACAAACAGTTAAAGTATACTGAATACCTGTTGACAATAGAATTAATAACATTTAAAACCTTTATATGAATCAATGAAGTTACAAAGAGGCAGATATGTACAATCTTCGAATACATTATATAGCTTTCATAAAGTGAGTTTATGTTTTCTACATCGATACCATAAACAACTGGTGTTAAAATGTCTACGCTCATATTTACACTAGAGATATACTTCAATAATATAGAAATACAGATTCCTAATTTATCACTATACCATCACATAATTCTGTTGTGTTTTATTAATCATTAACTATTTCAGTCTCATTATGTAACCTTCCAATAACATGAATCAAATTCTTGTTGCCATAGTAACCAATAATAATAAATAATAATTGAATAAGCATATAAAACTTGTAGAAAAAATATATTTGTTTATATGTTAGGGGGTAAGATGAAAAAAAACAAAAAAAAACAAGGAGATTGTAATTCTCATAGAGTAATCACGTGTATTGCCTGGAATTTGTATATCTAAATTGTTTGAATTCGATAGAAGCGCAAAGATTTTAATAATTTGAAGGTTATAAAGAATGTACTATTAACAAGTGAATTTATTGATTTCATCTTTATATTTACTATTTGTTAGATATTTCATAAGAATTAGAATATAATGAGGGAATAAGAGATTATTATTTTAAGCAAAGATGGATTGTGGGCTAGTGGTAGAATACAGTTTAATCCGCATTTCATCGTATTTGAGACTCATTAGCTGGATGTACCTCCATCTCACAGTTGAAATTCACTCTGAGAGTCGAATCCAGTACTGTTTGCTTAAGATGCTATCGCATTATCCACTTAGCTACTAAGTCTTGAACATCAATGGACCGATTCAAGTAAACAATATCAAGTGAATTTCAAAAAAAAATTACTAGTTTTCAGTATTTTAAAAACCATATTCACATGGTCTACACTATTTTTCCCTTTCTAAATATTTGTTATCAGTTGTAGCTATATAGTCGAATTGAATCAGTGAACTGAGTTTAACATGTTCAATCATGTATATAAATCTGTTTCATGACGTTGGGTATTACTTGTATTGATTCTATTAAAGGCCTGGCACTCAATCAATAGTCATATTAATATCAACCCAATCTATTAGCCATTAAAAGATGGATTAGTAACTAGAAGGTCAGAGATCACGTCAACGAAGGAAACAATCAAAACAAACATTCCAACTACTATCTCACAATTACAGTCATCCAAATTCCAGGTCAACAAAACAAGCTACAGTTCTCTCTGAGGTTTATACTGTTGATTTACATCGCGTTATCCACTTAGCTACCGAGTCCTGATAGCCACCTGCTTGTGCAATGGGGTGAAGTATAAATTTATTTGATGTTGTTTTACTTGTATCTTTCCATTGTTATTTAGGACTGCAGTGAATCAGTCTTTTGTTGGTATATGTGCATGCAGTGCGGATTACCTCGATATAGCTTTGAGTCAGAAGCTTTTTAATGAAAAATGGATAGTACCTAGCTTCTCAATATAAGATTACTATTTGTTACAATATACTACTATAATATAACCGAAGATTCTGCTGTAACTAGATACTCGGACGATACAATATACATAGACTGGATCAGGTTATAACAAATACATGACCAACATATGTGACCAGACTATAAGCTAGACAATACTTTAAATAACAAAACTACAGACAGTTTACTATCAATGAGTTCTGATCAGAAACTAAAGATACAAAGGAAACTGAACATTAAGCTGATTGTTTGTTTGTCTATGTTGGATGGCCAATCACATAATACTCATGGTAATCACACATCAAATTACTTGAATTCAGTAGGTAATGTTACAACAGAACAGCTACAGACAAACAGAATTTGCAATGTTCAATAAGAACTGTTGTTAAAACAGAAAGTAAGATTAGCTTTTGAAGCCACTGTCAGTTTAAAGTACAATCGATGTTTTGTAAAACAACAACTAGGTAATTGAAATGATAAGTTTCAAAAGTCACATCAATATGACAGACACAAATCGACTTACACGTCATAACATGTTATTCTGTGTTGTTTTATAAACATTTTCAAATTTCGTTAAGTGTAAAACTTAGATTCTGATTATCCAGTCAGATACAACGTAGGACCAGGCACATATATACATCGATTCAAGTTGCCGTACCTCATTAATACAATAAGATGAATGTGATCTGTAGAGTTTCCAATGAATAGTCAGTATGTAAGTATCCAGTGCATTGCTTTCAATAAAGAATGTTGGTTGATCAAATAAATGTCGACTATCGTTGGGCAAATGACTATTAAGACAAGTCATATTGATTTTTATCATATCATTGTTTAAAGTTATTTTTTGATATTTCAAGTATCATTCAGCTACAATGTAAAACTAGGCACATATATACATCGATCGAAGTTGCCATGTCTCAATAGTTCAACACCAAATTCATAGAAGTAGTTACTTCAATAGTAGTAATTTATAAAAGAAACATTGTATATAAGCATATAGTATAGAAATAAAGTATTAGTTTGTAGAAAGAAAGGTATAAAGCTATATTAATCTCATAGTTTAAGGGAAGACAATGAATGTATACACTTACATTATTGTGACCAATTATGAGCCATGTCATCCAGAATCTTCAACAATTTAGTTACAATAGTTTGAGTAAATTTCGTTATATGTCAAAATGAATCGATTTATACCAGTTAAAAGTATGAAAGAAATATTTAAACTAAATATTATATTGAGTTATGAACACTATTGTGACATGGAAAATAGTAGTCTAATTACAATTCACTATTGTTCTTATTTAGTCACCTGAATATTCAATATAAAGAATGAAGTTAGATATTAACACCGTTGGATGCCCGTCAGCTCAGTAGTCTAGTCGATTAAGCGACTAGAGCGAGTATGATAAGTCCTGGGTTCGAATCTCGCGCCGGAAGGGGGGCGTGATCGTAGATGCGCATTGCTGAGAAGTCCCATACTAGGACGATACGGTCGTCCAGTGCTTTCAAGTTTTCCATGGTGGTCTAGCTTCAAATGACTCATGATTTTAAGTATTGAAATACAAAAAATAAACAGACCTAATTTGTTTAACTTTACAAAGAATGAAATGATAAAATGAATTAGATCCTCTATTTTCATAATGAATACCACACCCATTTTAAATAATAATAGTAATAATAACAATACTACTATGAAGCTACTTATATCATTATCTAAGATTGAATTAGACAGCATAACAGTTTTGAAATCATTCATCCATCTATGATTAAAGTTAAACTATGCAAAGGTAATAAATCATATTCCACCCATCAATAGTATGGGCTTATTCAATAAATACCAATTTTATTTAGATTTATAATTAAGATGTATATATATATATATATATATATATATATATATATATATATATATATGTACATTAATGAAGATGATTAACTCCGCCTAGAGTCACAGACCTAGGACAAATTGGGGTTAGACAATTGCCTATAATCCATGAGGAGTAACAGGCGTTAATCATTCAGTAATAAAGATGAATACAATTTTAATCATTTCATGAATATCCTTTTTACTTCTTTACTTTTAAATTAAACAAATGCAAAAGTAAGAAGAAGAGAAAGAAGAAAGAAAGAAACAAACAAAAAAAAAAAAGAAAAACACCACCACCACCAACAACAACAACAACAACAAAAATAACAAAATAGAAAATCAATAAATCTCTAAACATCAAAATCATAAAGATAATTAATAGAAATAACAAAAGTAACATGTATCATTTAAAACAACCAACAACAAAAAAAAGGCGCGAAAAAGAAAAACAAAACACAAAATACATACAGTATTTATACAATTGAATATTGAATGTAAATTAGATGAAGCGGGAATTTAACTTGAATGATTCTTTGGATAAAATATGATCATTATCATCATCATCATGATCCTGATCATCATCATCATCATGATCCTGATCATTATTTATTGTAGTTATAGTAGTCATAGTATTGATTAAATCAATATTATATTTATTGATAATATAATATTGAAAATATTGTAATACTTTATCAAGTTTTTTAATAAATATATCAATTTCATATTGATGTTGTCCAATTGATGAAGCTGCATTAATATAAGGTATCCTAGATGTAGAACTATGTGAATTAAATCCATAAAATTCATATAGATCTAATTTAATAGAATTTTGCATAGATGACGGTAGAATAACTCTAGAAATGAATACAAGAATAAATAAATAAATGTTTATTGATTGATTGATTGATTGATTAAAACAGATAAAAATGGGTACACGAAAGTATCAAATAGATATGTACCACATAAATCATTCGATTTATGTGACCGTTGAGATATTGTTCTGGTGCCGAAACCAAAGCAGGTAGTTTACTTAAGAAGCCATACCCGAAGCAGTTGACCTAAAGATCTGATTCATAAGAAAGTGAAACGATGTTAGGAGATGCAGTTTCATCATAGTCGGTGACCAACAATAGGTTCATAAGCCATTTGTTCCCTCAGGATACTCGATCCCATGTGCACCAGTGGTGTGAAATCAGAGTTTTCCGAATCCCCTTGGTGGATTCTTTATATTCACCAACTCGGTTATAACACCTGACATTGGGTTTTCGTCCATCTCAATTTCGTAAACAACACCCACATTATGAGAAAGCAGTGAGTAGGACTTCTGTGGCAGTGGCTGTATGGACGTGGCCATATGAGAACATTTCCAGAGGGACGGCTGTCTCTCCCCACTCTCAGCCATACCAGGGTATTTGGAGGCGAATCAAGTAGCATTATGACTATCAATCGTCAATTATAAACAGTTTAATACCTACCTAGCGGGAATTCGTGACTACTGAAGCTAATCTGGTATTTATCTCAATAAAATGGAAAATAGTCGCGGAGTTTCGTGTATTGGTTGAGGCTAGACGTTAACATCGTTGTATGTCGGCTGGCTCAATGGTCTGTAGGTTAAGTGTTCACGCACGAGATCGCAGGCCCTGGGTTTGTATCCCACGAGCAGGATTGTGGATGTGCACTGCTGAGGAGTCCACAATAACATGAAACAGCTATCCACTGCTTTCAAGTTTTCAATGGTGGTCTAACATCAATCGGTTCATGATCTCAATCAAATATATATGCACCCATTAAACTTATTAATGGTATATATTAGAACAATAAGATAAACTATAAGATAGAAGAAATATTAAAAAGTTTTAAAAGGAGGGTTTTACAAGTTCAGTGTAAAATGATTTCTCCGGAATAGGAAATCAGTAGATTGTTATGAATGTGCATTCATCGTAAAAGCATACAGTACAGTTACATGAAATTAGTCATATGGAAAGAAATTTAAATAACAATAATTTCAATGATAAAAGAGAAAACCAAATAATGAAAATACAGTTTAAAAAAGGAGTGGATTCGTGGAATTAAAGTATATAACTCTATGGTTAGAGACCCTGAAAGACATGGCTCAAAATCGTTTGAAATAGCGCAGGTGCATCCACTCATTGTGTTCTCCCAAATTCTGAATTCTTCAAGTCCCTTCTTTTTTTCACTTTCCAAATTTATTTCACTGGATTATATTCCTTATATAACATCTTCAAACCCTAATCTTTCCGATTACGGCTTATACTCTTACTACCTCTACCACTATGTGATTTGAATCGACAATTGTATCTGTGTGCTAATATGGTATGGCAACTCGAACTGATATACATACGTACGAAGTTCTACGTTGATACTAACTGGTTTAACTCCAAAATCAGAAGACAAAAAAATCAAAGCGTACAAGTCATTCTAACCAATCTTTAATCATGTCATTTATTCTTTTTCAATATTAGACTCATCCAGGGAAACTGTACACCTAGAAACATGACTTACAACAAAAATCAATGACTTCATAAACTAATCCCACGTCCTAGTTTAACTCTCCTTAGCTTTCAGCCAGACTACTCTAAAATTAAAAAGCAATAGCAATCAAAACAATCAATGGCTACGTTTACGTAAAACGTGTCTCAGTGACAGGATAATTTTAAATATAGCCTCTGCCAGGGAAGTCCTACTCACTGCCTTCTAGCACCACGGGTGTTGTTTACGAAAATGAGAAGATGAAAAGCGAATGTACGGCACCGGCTTTAACCGGATCCCAAACCAATGGTGCACATGGGCTCCAGTATCCTGAAGGAACAAATGGCGTATGAACCAATCGTTGGTCACCAGCTACAATGAGACTGCATCTCCTCCCGATGTTCCATTGCCCTGTGGGTCAGACCTTCACGTCGAAGGCTCCGGGTGTGGTCCCTAAGAAAATCACCTGCTTCAGTCTGGACACCCGTGCAGTATCACAGCCCTCACACATATCAAATGAGATTTGTGTGGTGTATATATATTTGGTGCTCCCTTGTATCAATATCTACGTATCTGTGTGTGCATGGTTTTAAATTATTTAGTTTTGATTCTTGTTAATCTCTCTTTCTCCCTCTCTCCTGAAACGATAATCCTATGTATATTATTTCTAGGTGATATGACATTCTATGGTCTTTGATTAGTAGTTTATTAAAATTTTGCCTGAAAATCCTGCTTTATTGCTAAATAAACAAAGTTATTCTACTTTAATTCCGTCTTTGTTAAATACCAGGTTTGTTTCTAAACTATTGACTTCTTCTTGAGTTACATTGTTTGATGATAATTGTTGAAACGTTGAATGTGTTCTATTAAAGATAGAAGGATCTGGATGAACCAATAAGCTTTATAGTATGTATGGTTGTTACTGATAATCATTTGTGTTATTGGTTACATAGGTCATTAGTCAAATAGAAGTAAACTGAACTCAACATTGGTGGACTTCATAATCTTGTGACTTGACTAAGTTGGATATTGCGACAAGTTTGTAGGGTCAGTGAAATGTTACTGAGCACTAGCTAAATCATCCGGAAGTTGGGTTAATGAATATCGAATAGATGATTGATCCTTATCAAAGTCTAGGATAACCAAAGGGCATCAGTTAATTGTATGCCATAGACTGGCCAATGCGGTGGTGGTGGTCTCACTATATTCTCTGTACTCATTCCTAATAATAATAACGTTATTTGTGTTGTGCCGTCTTTAAAGCATCCATCGTACCTTGATATGATGCAGGAGTAATCCACGTCAGGTGCTGACTATGAGGTGTAGTTTTGACGTTAGCTGTTGATCACACCATTCCCAACTAACTTAAGTAGGCCTTCCCCCAAACATTCGACATAGATCATCTACATTGGTGATCTACAAGTTTAAATTCATAACACAAAGCCTAATACAATAACCATCAGTACATTGTTTTATCAATATAGATCTGAGTATAATGTATCTAATTAATTTACAACATGGTGACAAGTAGAATAAAAATGAACTTGAAATAAAAAAGATTAACATTTAAAAGAGAAGGGTAACAATTGAAAGGTATCTAAAGCGTGACACATTGAATATGATTAATGAAACGTGTTATTTCTATGATAAAGAATAATATATGATGAAATCATCTGACTCATTCATTGATATTCAAGTGACTTTGAGAGAGAGAGAGAGAGAGAGAGAGAGACTGTAACCAAGACCATCACATCATATGAGAATTTGGAACGTCAAATACTATGAATAAGTATTTCTAATTTTTTCACAATACAACAATGAAACACTTCTTATCTAATCTAAAACAAATCTCATGTTTTTATAATGAATGGACAATACATGACCATCAGTCAGTCAGTCAGTCAGTCAACTACAACGTGGGATCAGGCACATATATGTATTGATCCAAGTAGATACACCTGATTAGTACAGCAACATGTACACTGCGCTTCATGGAAGTAGTCGCTTCAATGGTAGTAATGTATGAAAGAAATATTGCATATAAGGATATAGTAAAAGAAGAAAAAAAGATATAAATCTATTTTAATTTCATAGTTTAAGGGAAGACAAAAAGTGTATATACTGATGCCATTGTGATCGATTTTGAGCCATGTCACACAGATTCGTTCTCTGAGCTGGATGGTTTGGTCGTGTGGAGAAAATATAGCTGTTCTCGAGTGAAAGCTTGCCTTTTGGTGAAATTCTCCCATTTTCAAACAACGAGAACCGTATCACGCTCATATGATTTTGAGATGGTCGAGAAGATTTGTAGCTCAGGTGAATGATTTTAATGAAGTTTTATTCTTTGAGCTGGATAGAAGTGTGCTGATGATGTCGTTCAGAAGAACGGTGAAAGCTCCACGACCAAACCATTCAGCTCGGAGAACAAAACTCCATCAAAATCATCCACCTAAGCTACAAATCTACTCGACCGTCACACAGATTCTCCAATTGTTGATTACGATAGTCCCACTGACCCCAATCAAATAGTCTGCATCTACCAACATGTCATGGATATCTGGCTTAACCAGTAACCCGTAAACAAAATAAAATTTGGAACACTAGCCAATTGAAAAACAAATGAACAAGAAAGATCATAATAACCATTTACAAGTCAGTTTTATCTATAATTGTACTTACCTTACACCTGAACATCCTTTTGTAAAAAGATTAGCACCAATTTGTGTTAATTGATGAAATATTTCACTTTTTTGATTATCTTCTATGATATTATTTTTATTTTTTATTTTTTGCATAGTAACTATTTTAGGTAGAAGATTTTCTATACTTAATGCTAATGAAATAGGATTTAATGGAGTATCTAATAATTTTAAATTAAATTTTTCACTTAATTGTTTTAATCCATTATGTAATCGTTTGAAACAGATAGATTGTTGTTGAATTAAATCATTCCAACCTTTATTACCAAGATAAAGTAATGTTGCGAATGCATCCAATGTTGGTGATCCTGAAGCTCGACCTATATATACATATAATAAAGAAGAATAATTAAATGAAAGATATAACTGAATTTTATTGGATTAATCCAGTTGTTTCAACATCAATTACTCTTGATGGCGAAATTCTAGAAGATGTAGAATCTTTCACATACCTAGGAAGCATCATCGATGAACAAGGAGGTTCAGATGCAGATGTGTAAAGGCGAAGATTATCAAATCAAGGGCGGCATTCCTTCAATTGAACAACATATAGAACTCAAAACAACTTCCAACCAATATCAAAATCAGAATGTTCAATACCAACGTCTATACAGTCCTGCAGTGTCTGTCATTATGTTAAGCCCATATACTTTATTCTGGGCTTTCGGACATTTCAATCTATTCATTCTACTTGAGTCATATTTTGACCTTGTAAATTATTCGCTAATCAATCTTGGCTGTCTTTCTATCAGCGCCTGGGCGTGTGTACACTTCTTATTCCACTGTTCATCACATGTCTGTAATTTATGTTTGTGTGCTTATAAATATTGATTAACTCTTTGTTAAAGGGGAGTTTGCTTACCAGCCATCTCCACCGCCCGTCAATTTAGCTTCGCTTTCTCTTTGCATCGTTCGCCCGTTCGTTTGTCTAATCAACAATTATACAAAATGTAAGCATTCAAAACTCCATTCTCGTTATTTGACTTATTTAATTCCGTTATTAACTAACGCGATTTAAGTCAATGATTATATAAGAGACGATAGGCGATAACAAACATCATTACGATCTATTTGGAGTTAGATCTCGGGCCACAAAAGTTCTATTGTACGGAGCAGAAACATGAAGAACTACAACAACCACCATCAAGAAGGTATAAGTATTTATGAATAGCTGTCTACGCAAGATACTCAACATCCATTGGTCGGATATCATCAGTAAACGGATTACAGTAGCACAGTTTCAATTGTTCACTGACTCTTGAATAAAAGTGTTATATACTATACTTCTAATTATTATACGTCATTTGTTCATCTTTTTGCATTCGTTTTTGTATGTTTAATGTCTTACTACCATTAATGGTATTCTCTCATCTTTTCAGTACTTTTCATCTTATGAATCATTTCTTAGTGAACTTACGTAACTAACAACGGAGGTCTTGTGTCTCAAACACGATTTATTGGTTATAACTGGAGTCATTTATGTATTAACAAACTACCTACAGAAATTGTTAACAGAATATAGATTGGATTAAGGTATGCTCCGTGCACGATTGTGTTAGGGCACACAGATTAACTATTTCTTAACCCATCAGCGTTAGAGGATACTTGGAGACGATTCTAGAATCTTCTTAAATGAAGTTTATAAACAAAGTAGCGTTTTTCATATTGTTCATCTGTAATATAATTGAGTTCCTGTTTTAAACATGTTTTAATTTGGGGACTTATCAAGTGAAATAGTATACAAGACTACTAATTAAGAAGAGTAACTAAGTCGTAAGAAGAGGATTCATGATGGAAATGAAATAGTATCATTGACAATTTAAACTATAGTGAAATGTAAATTCAGTAATTCAATTAATGATTCAGGTAAAAATAAGGAATAGTCCTGTTTGACCTATATTGTATAACAATGGATGAAATAGAAATATATTCAATAATTTGATAAGTTTTAAAAATGTGAACCAATAAACTTCTACTCAGTTAACAAGAATGTTTTAATCGACTATTATCAGAAGTATCAGTGAACAAGATGAACATTTTAACTCATATGTTGATATGATTTCAACGATCCAAACAATCAGGAAACTGATACAATAAAATTGAAAATATACTACCTTCTCGCGGTGAGGGGGGATGTTGTTTACAAAATTGAGAGGACCGGGTTGATGGACACGAAGAATCCACCTAGAGGAGTTGGAAAACCCTGATTCCAAAGTAATGGTGTACATGGCATCCAGTATCCTGAGGAGACAAATGGCGTATGAAATAATTGTTGGTTACCGACTATCATGGGACTGCATCTCCTGACGTCGCTTCACTGCCTTGTGGATTAGACCTTTAGGTCGAAGGCTCCACGTATGGCTTCGCAAGAAAACCACCTGCTTTGGTTTGGGCACCCAAGTAGTATCCCAACCCTCACATAAATCGAATGATTTATGTGGTACATATCTATTTGATACTTTCTTGTATCAATGTTTATGTGTTTAAATTAATAGTAACGATAAAAGAAGAATTAATAAAGAATATTATTATCTTACCGGGATAAAGTTTAGCGACAAAATCAACTAAATCGGTAGAAAATCCAGCAATTACAGCTCCACCAACTGGTACCATTAAATTTTTATCAGTACTTTGTACATATAACAAATCAATTGGTTGATTAGTTGAATCTAAGAAAAAATATACATAAAAGTGATTTGTTGTTGAAGGCTAAATGTAAAGATTATCACTAATGTGCTAAACACAACCCATTTAGTCAACAATGATAAACATATTAACTCTTAACAACTAATATAAAACCGGAAGCGACCATGACGACCAAGCGTATACCAGGCGGATTCGAGACCAGATTATCGACTGAGTGCGTTGACTAGAGCGTGGGTGATCAGGCCAGCTTTCGCCAAGGTTGACTGAAATCGACGTTACCAAACGAGAGATAGTCGGAGGCGTGGGCTCAGGATACAAAAAAGAATATCAAAACAAGAAAAGTGTAGCATGCGTGTAGTATAGGAATAATCCTACACCGTACCCGTTATTGACTGTGCGGTTAGTCGCGAAAGCGTACGGGTAATCGTACTCGGCGACCGGAACGTGAGACGGTAGTCTCGTTCGTACTTCGTGAGCCTGCGATCTCATCCGAGGTCAAGGGCGGCGTGGTCTGCCGATCTGGACGTGAGGCGGAAGTCTCGTCCGTAGATGGTGCAGATGACGCGTGCTGCTGACCGGGACGTGAGAATGAGGTCTCTGATGTATCTAGCGTGGGATCCGAGGTAAATGTAGAGATCCCGCTAGAAGGTTTGATAGGTCTAGCATTGAGTCTCAGGTTATCGGGTAGGCACTGTCATCGACGTGTGCTGGTTTGGGACGATCAATGCTGACGATCTCGACGCGGCCATGTCGATCAACCTTGGAGGTCTTTTCGTGACGAGAGATCACGTGAAAAGGGCCTTCGTAAGGCTGTTGCAAAGGTTTGCGTACCGAATCTACTCGTATGAAAACATGTGAACAGGTAGATAATTCTCGGGGGAGAGCGACCTGTCGATGTTGTATTCGAGTTGACACCGGAGACAGCGTTCGCATAAATGCAGACAGTCGATGGACGTAGTCTGATTTACCGAAATCGTTACTGCTCCGTGGTGTGAAGAATTCCCCAGGCAGACGCAATGTCGTGCCGTATACAAGTTCAGCGGCGGAACATTGAATATCTGCCTTCAAACTCGTTCTGATGCCTAAGAGAACGAGCGGTAAGGTTTCGTACCAATTGTCGTTTTCGTGTGCTCGAAGAGCACTTTTAAGTTGCCGATGAAACCGTTCGACTAAACCATTCGATGATGGATGGTAGGCGGTAGTGCGTATGCGTTCCGTACCAAGCAGCCGGATCAGTGAGGAGAATAATGCGGACTCGAATTGTTGTCCTCGGTCAGTCGTGACAATCGAGGGACAACCGTACAATGCTATCCATCGTTCTACGAGGCGGTGAGCAACTGTCTCCGCCGTAATAGACATGATGGGAATAGCTTCGGGCCATCTTGTAAAGCGGTCGATGCACGTGAGTTTGTGATCATACCCATTCGATGGTGGCAATAGTCCTACAATGTCTATATGAACGTGATCAAAGCGAGCATCAGGCGTAGCGAACGTGCCAATGGGGGCAGCTACGTGCCTGTGCACTTTTGATCGTTGACACTGTAAGCATTGCTTTACCCACATACGAACATCTTTATTCATGGACGGCCAGACGTATCGTGCAGCGATGAGACGTAATGTGGCTGCGATACCTGGATGAGACAATCCATGAAGGGCATCGAAGACGAGACGGCGATAGGCAGAGTGTACGATGGGTCGAGGAAGACCGGTAGAAGTATCACATAGGATAGTACCTGAGCTAGTAGCTAGGGTACTTCCCGGCACTGAAGGGACGAAGATTGTGGTGCTTCTGTACAGAAAGGATCGTTTGCTTGAACGGCGGCCATAGCAGGAAGATCGAGTACCGGTAAGGTAACTGCATTCGTCTGGACACGTGATAGAGCATCAGCAACATAGTTCGACTCGCCTTTAATGTGACGAAGGTCTGTCGTAACTGGGAGATATAGTCCAAATGTCTGCACTCTCGTGGTGAGTAGCGATCAGACTTGGTATGCAGGGCATACGTTAAGGGCTTATGGTCGGTGAATAAGATGAGTTGTCGTCCTTCTACTGCGTGCCGGAAATGTTTGATGGCGCATTAGTCTGCTAGCAGTTCGCGACCAAAAGCGCTATATCTCGTCTCCGTGGGAGTAAGTCGTCGTGAGAAAAATTCAGGCGGTTGCCAACTACCGGAGATATTCTGTTGCATAACGGCTCCTATAGCAAAATCCGATGCATCAACCGCTATACTAAGCGTAGCTGATGGGTCAGGATGAGCGAGAAGTGTAACTTCAGCGAGAGCCACTTTGATCTCTCAGAATGCAGTACGTGCAGTATCGTTCAATTCTAATTTGCGTGGATTACCGCGAAGTAAATCGGTTAATGGTCGTAACTGTTGTGCCGCGTGCGGGATGAAACGTCGGTAGAAGTTAACCAAACCGAGGAAAGCCTTCAGCTCCTTGATTGAGGACGGCACGTTGTACTCCCTTATTGCTCGAACTTTGTCGTCGCAAGGCAGAATACCCTCTTTTCTTATAATGTGACCCAAAAATATTATTTCTAGTTTACCCAATTCACATTTGTCTGGGTTGACTACTATTCCATTATCCGAAAGACGTTGGAATAATAGCGTAAGGTGTTGATAATGTTCATCTACGTTTGATGATGCGATTAACAGGTCATCAATATAGACGTGAACAAAATCCAAGTCTCGTACTATGCTACCGATAAACCTTTGGAAAGTTTGAGCAGCATTCCTTAATCCAAATGGCATTCGTAGGAACTCAAACAGACCGAAAGGAGTCGTGATAGCAGTTTTTTCGATATCTTCAAGAGCGACTGGGATCTGGTGATATGCTCGTACCAGATCGATCTTAGAAAAGATAGTCGTGCCCTTGAGCGATGCCGTGTATGTGGGGGATGAGGTAGCTATCAAAGCGCGTAACTACGTTTAGTGCTCGGTAGTCGCCGCATGGTCTCCGACTAACCTCATCCTTTTTGCGCACCATATGAAGGGGAGAGGCCCAAGGACTGTGAGAAGGACGAATAATACCAGTAGATAGTAAATTGTCAAACTCACGTTTAGAAAAAGCTAATTTTTCCGGTGCCAGTCGGCGTGGTCTTGCCGTGACTGGTGGTCCGCGGGTGACTATGTGGTGTACCACACAATTGGTCACCGATGAAATCTCCTCGAGAGGTTTAATTATTCTGGGGAATTTCTCGAATAAAGCGTGGAATTTATCGTCACGCGAATGAAAAGTGCTGAGGATTCGGTACGCCTTTGTGTGAGCTTTAAAGGCCATGAATTTGCTGTTCGACGAAGTATCGATTAGCTGCAGCCTACGTGAATCGACTAGCAATTCGTAGTGCTGTAGGAAATCAATATCTAGTATAGCTGTGGGAACATCAGCAATGATGAACGTCCACAGATACCGTGGTCGGATGCCCAGGTTGACCGCGAGTTGTTGTGTACCGTAGGTAGGAATAGCTGAGCCATTCACAGCGCGTAGTCGAAGCATTGCAGCTTGTGACTTGATGCTACCACGTGGTGCGACAGAAACTTGGGCACCAGTATCCACTAGGTACCCAGCGTTTGTGCGATAATCGTGCACGTAAAATAAACGGCCAACCTGAGGGGCAGGGCCAGCGAGTACGGCCGCTTTTACTCGCCAGCTTTGGCATTTCCCGCCTTGTATGAGCACGGGGCTCGACAACGGCGGGCACCATACTCGAAGGATCGATGGAACCAGCACCAACCCTCACTCGCTTCCGAAGCCACCTTTTGGCGTGGCCTGGAAGATGCCCTCGTTGGGCGAGTGTTGACGGCTTTTCGAGAGTGTGAGCGGGCTCGAGGGACGTAGGGTTGGGGTACGTTACAACGGTCTCGAAAGACGGCGAGTCTGGAATTTAGACTCTATTGCAGCGAACCAAACCTCTGGATGGTCGGGAATAAACGGTACAGATCGAAAATAAATAGCCTGTACATCTGAGTCTACAATATTAATTCTGCTTTTATCGCTATCCATCATGTCGTGTATATTATATATTAAAAATTAATATGAAAATATACAACAAACGTGGATAGATAAACTATAGACTCACCGGATTGACTTCTTTGGAAGATTTGACCAGAGGTTGACGCGTGTTACCAAGTTTGGTTCACCAATTGTAGCTTGGTGTCGAGTTGAGCTTGACTATGCACACCGCTACAAGACTACGTGCCAATTAACTAATAAAATCCTCGTAGACCAATATCAGAAGGCAGATTATGGCTGTAGTCGAAATGTATTTGTTGGCGATCTCGTGGTATCGAAAGAATACCGAGATCGTGCCAAAGGAGTACAAATGCGATCGGCAAGGAAAGGTACGTGCGTAGAATCACAAACCGTGCAGAAGTAATGGAGTACAATGGAAGACCAAAATGGCTGTTATTAGCACAGTTAAACAAACGAGCACAGTAAAACAGTCACTGGTACAATTGGTTATAATAATAACTGTTTTCATCGAACCAATCGCGTTCTGTTTACAAAAACAGGTCACTACATAGTCATGAGCAGGGTAATTTAGGATTGTGTTTATTGTAAAAGGAGGGACGCCCGTCGAATTCAACAACTAATGGCACCATTACCTCCAATCAGGATAGAAGGTGGTGACTATCCATTCTTATCAGCTGGGGTAGATTATTTTGCACCGCTTATGGTTAAACATGCTAGAAGTACTGAGAGGGGGTGTGGTTGTGTATTCACTTGTTTAAGGTTGAGAGCTGTGCGTCTGGAGGTGGCATATAGTTTTAACACAGACTCATACCAGTGACTTCTGTAGTGATCTACTTTTGTCAACAGAACGCGATTGGTTCGATGAAAACAGTTATTATTATAACCAATTGTACCAGTGACTGTTTTACTGTGCTCGTTTGTTTAACTGTGCTAATAACAGCCATTTTGGTCTTCCATTGTACTCCATTACTTCTGCACGGTTTGTGATTCTACGCACGTACCTTTCCTTGCCGATCGCATTTGTACTCCTTTGGCACGATCTCGGTATT